GTACCAGTGTGCCCAGTACCAGTGTAGCAGCTACTGGTGTTCCTAGTGCTGCTGTCCCCACTGCCAGTGTCTCTGGTGCCGGTGTCCCCGGTACCAGTGCCCCCAGTGCTGGTGTCCCCAGTGCTGGTGTCCCTGGTACCACTGTCCCCAGTGCTGGTGTCCCTGGTGCCGCTGTCGCTGCCCGCCAGGCCGGCAGTGCAGAGCTGTGTTGTCGTGGCACCTCCGGGACGCCCCTCACCGCCGCTGTGTCCCCCGCTGTCCCCAGGCCCCCACGCTGCCGCTGCCCGCCTTCCCTGCCACCGAGGAGGACGATGGCGCCGACACCGAGCCGGACACACGGGCCATGGTGCAGGCCCAGAACCAGAAGAAGAAGAAATCCGGTGGCTTCCAGTCCATGGGTGCGTGCGGGGCGGGGGACAGCCGTCCCTGGGGTGGGGACTGTCCCCTCACCTGTCCCCGTCCCCGCAGGCCTCAGCTACCCTGTCTTCAAGGGCATCATGAAGAAGGGCTACAAGGTGCCCACCCCCATCCAGAGGAAGGTGAGCAGGGGGGTGGCGGGACCCCCGCCCCGGGGCGGTGGCAGTGACGGTGACAGTGACGGCGGGGCGGTGTCTGGCAGAGCATCCCCGCCATCCTGCGCGGCCGGGACGTGGTGGCGATGGCGCGGACAGGCAGCGGGAAGACGGCCTGCTTCCTCATCCCCATGTTCGAGCGGCTGAAGGCGCCCAGCCAGGCCGGGGCACGCGCCCTCGTCCTCTCGCCCACCCGCGAGCTGGCCCTGCAGACCCTGAAGTTCACCAAGGAGGTACGGGGAGGGGGCAGTGGGGACGACGGGGGCAAGGGCGTTGGTTTTAACGCCCACCCTGACGTGTTTCTTTCTCACCTCCCAGCTGGGCAAGTTCACAGGCCTGAAGACAGCCCTGATCCTAGGAGGGGATAAGTAAGCCACCCCCACCGGTCCCCACTTCCCTAAAGCCTCCCCAAAACCTGCTGAGGGGCTGGGCTGCCCCATGCTGCCTGGTGCCACCCCAGTGTCTCCCCACTTTCGCAGGATGGAGGACCAGTTCGCTGCCCTGCACGAGAACCCTGACATGTGAGTGGGGGCATGGGGAGGGGACCTGGTGAGGAAATGGCCCCCAAGAGCTCCCCGCTTCCCGGGGACACCACTGGTGTTTACGGCCAGCGTTCCCGGTGGATGTCTCCTGTGTTCCCTTGGAGCATCTTCCCGTGCTCCCTGGAGGTGACAAGGGGGCTTTAATCGTGTCTTTTGTGGGTCACATTTGGGACCTGCACCCGGGATGGTGTGGGGACACTGTCCCCCCACCCAGCCTGGTCCTGTCACCAGCTCTGTCCCCACAGAATCATCGCCACCCCCGGGCGCCTGGTGCACGTGGCGGTGGAGATGAAACTGAAGCTGCACACCGTGGAGTACGTGGTGTTCGACGAGGCCGACAGGTCAGCGGGGTGCAGGGGGGTCCCTGGGGGTCCCCAGGGCTGTGGGAGTGAGGTGCCCTGGGGAGCAGCAGGGCTGGGCACGGAGGGACCGAACAGGCGCTGCCATGTCCCCTGTCCCCTCGCCTGCAGGCTCTTCGAGATGGGCTTTGCCGAGCAGCTCCAGGAGATCATCGCCCGGCTCCCAGACTGCCACCAGACCGTCCTCTTCTCCGCCACGCTGCCCAAGCTGCTTGTCGAGTTTGCCCGGGCTGGTGAGAGCGTGGGGCGGGCGGCAGCTGGGGGGGAGCCTGGGGACGGGGACACGACGCAGTTCCACAGCTGGGCTGTGTAGCAAAACGGGGCTGGGTGGAGGCTTGCCCAAGCGGGTGTGCGGCTGCTCCCAGTGGCACGTCCTATGTGTGACCCACGTGTCCCCACGTCCTGCAGGTCTCACCGAGCCAATGCTGATCCGCCTGGATGTGGAGTCCAAGCTCAGCGAGCAGCTCAAGGTGAGAGGGGCCAAGGGGGCTTGAGATGGGCTTTGTGCCCTCCACCCCCTGCAGGCCACCCTGCGGTGGCTCCAGGCTCGCAGGGAGGGGACAAGGGGTGTCAGTGTCTGACATGGGGACGCAGAGGGGCTGAGCTCTGCCCTCCCTTTGCAGCTGGCTTTCTTCCACGTGCGTGGGGACGACAAACCGGCCGTGTTGCTCCACCTGCTCCGGAGTGTGGTAAAGCCTCAGGACCAGACGGTCATCTTCGTGGCCACCAAGCACCACACAGAGTATCTCAAGGAGGCAAGTGGCATTTTGGGGTGCCCAGCATGTACCCCTGTTAGATGGCAGGCTGCCAGGGGTACCTAAGACCCCTTTCCGGACCCACATGGGGTCTGCATCTGTGGGCCCGTCCCTGCTGGAGTCCCTGCCACTGTTTAGCTGGGTTGAAGGAGAAATCCCAGCGTATGTTATCATGGAGGTGCTGCATCCGCCTGCCCCTCGGACAGAGCGGGGAGCACAGTGGGATTTGGGGGTCTGGGTGGACACCCCGGGGTTTCAGGGAGACTGAGGGTGCTTGCCCAGGGGATATCTGGTCTCTCTTTCCTCCTCCCCAGCTGCTGACAGCCCAGGGCATCCGCTGCACACACATCTACAGCTCACTGGACCAGACTGCCCGCAAGATCAACATCGCCAAGTTCGCCCAGGGCAAGTGCCCGGTGCTGCTGGTCACCGACGTGGCCGCCCGTGGGCTCGACATCCCCATGCTGGACAATGTCATCAACTACAGCTTCCCCGCCAAGGCCAAGCTGTTCCTGCATCGTGTCGGTGGGTGCCGGTGCCTCATGCAGGGACCCTTCCAACCTGGGGGTCCCTCAGGGTGACAGGGAGAGGATAATGTGCTGTCCCTTGTCCTGTTTTTCCCATCCCTGTGGCCTGCTGGGCTGGCACTGGTGTCCCTGACGTGATGCTGCTGTCTTTGGGGCAGGTGGTCTCCATGTTGTGACATCAGGAGACGAGACAGGCTGGGGACAAAGCAGGGCCAGGACTGTCCCTCATCTCCCAGCTGGACTGGGGGGGCTCCTGGGGGCAGGGCTGGTGCTTTCCCTTTAGCATGGCACCGTGGTGGGCTCCCCTTTGCCAGCCATGCCCAGCTGGTAAACATCACATGCGTGGGCTCCCAGGGGCACCAGTGGGTCCGTGCCTGTGTCAGGGCAGGCCGGGCTGGCACTGGTCTGGTTTCTCATTGTCCTCCACCCCTTGCCAGGTCGCGTGGCCCGAGCTGGCCGGAGCGGCATTGCGTACTCGCTGGTGGCTCCCGACGAGATGCCCTACGTCTTCGACCTCCACCTCTTTCTGGGGCACCCGCTCGTCCTTGCCGCTGCCCAGATGCCCGCTGGTAAGGCAGACCTGGCTGCAGGCAGGGGGGTGGCTGCGTGTCCAAGCTGGGACACTGGCCACATGGCCACTGTGGTTTTATCCTTGGCCGGTGCTGGAGTTCGTGGTCTTGTGGTCAGCATTTGTGCAGAGGGGTGATACGCTCTCATTACTGGAGTGCAGCTGGGGAAAAAGGGGTGCTGGGGGCTCTGACACCCCGTGTGTCAGGGGGTGCTGATTTAACCCCCCTGAGCTCCCCATGGCTGTGGGCTCTGCTCTGTTAAATCCTGGATTGCTGCCATGCCTGCTGCAGCAATCCCAGGTGGGTGCCAGCAAGGTGACGTGGTGTCCCCGGGGCTGCAGATGCCGGCGGGGTCCTGGGCCGCGTCCCCCAGAGCCTGGTGGACGACGAGGAGTGCCTGCTGCTGACGGACCACGAGGGCTCGCTGGAGCTGCGGAGCCTGCGCCGCGTCGCCGAGAACGCCCACAAGCAATATCTGCGCTC